GCGCGGGCCGAAGGCAGCGGCGGCGGCGACGCGGGGTGAGCCGGGCAAGGGGACCCCAGCTCCCGAGGCGCGATCTGGGCGCGGGGGTCATAGGGAGCGCTAGGGCGCAGCTGGTTTCCAAAGTTGCAGACTGTGCAGCGGGGCCGGGGTGATAAAGAGTGCAAGCTGAGGGGCTAGCCGGAGTCCTGGGGTGCGGGCTGGAATCCTGAGGCGCGGGGCGTAGCCGCAGTGGGTTTTCCAGCCCCGGGTCTGGGTATCGGAGACACGGAATCGCGAGGCTCCACTACTTGGAAAGTTGCGGGTCCGCGACTTCCAAAGCGAGGCTCCACTGGCTGCCCCGGAGTGGTTGGGGACCGGTCCCAAGTGGGATTCGGGCGCCGGGCTTCTGTCAGGAGCCCTGACGCGCGCGATCGGGATCTCCTACCCCGCGCAGCCGCTCAGAGGCGCGTGACTACTTGGTGAGTAACTTTTCCCGATCTCAGCAAGTCCCGGCAGGAGCGGCCCGACCGGAAGGGCCAGGGTTCGGAGACCCCTTTTCCCCAGTCTCCGCCAGTCCTAATCGCGTCCCCGACTCGGGTAGAGCTGCCCTTCCCCCGCATGGGGCTCCTATTTCAGACCCCGTGACCATGACAGCGGCTGCCCAGGACAACATGGTGGGGGGGAGCCTGACCCTCAGGAGTCTGACCTCAGGAGCCTGACCCTACCTTACTGCATCAGCAGGACCCTTCTCCAATCCCCTCGGGTGCAGATTTGGGAGTTCAGGAGGGTATCCAAAACTCCCGGGCGATGGGTACAGGCACACACAGGAGGCCCCTTCTCCCAGTCTTGTTCTCTGCTCACATGGTGGGAACTGGGATGAGCCACTTACCTACTGTCCTAAGTAAGCGCGTGTGCATGCATTGTGTGTGTGTGTGTGTGTGTGTGTGTGTGTGTGTGTGTGTGTGTGTTGAGATAAGGTAAGGTCCTATTCTATAGTCCAGGTTGGCCTCAAAGTCTCAACAATCTTGCCTCATCCTCCCTAGTGCTGCGATGGCAGACGTGTGCCACCTTGCCAAACTTTCATTTTGTCCTGTTTTCTTAATATTTATGTATTTATTTAATGTATATGAGTGACCTGACTTCGGGGACACCAGAAGAGAGAATCAGATCCTATTGTAGATGGTTGTGAGCATGTGATTGCTGGGAACTGAACTTAGAACCTCTTCCCGAGCAACCGGTGCTCTTAACCACTGAGTCTATTTTAAATAGGCTAGGGCCCCCTGGAGACTCGACTTGGACTCCAAGGTGTAGCCTTGCCCTTGGGGTGTGTGCTAAGTGATCCTTTTGTGGGTGCAGAGAGTTCCTAAGTTCTGGGTTTGGCCCCTGTAAGCTCTCCACTTTTATTCTCAGAGATGGGGGTCTATAGTGGTGCTGCCCAGGGTGGCCTTGAACTCCTGGGGTGCATGATCTAACTGCCTTAGTCTCCTGAGTAGGTGGGATCACCAGCTCTCACCACTGATCCAGCTTTGTCCCACTTTTGCTGAAAGGCCTCTGCGGGGCTGTCAGATGGGAAGGGGTGAATAAGATGTGCCATTCACTTGATCTTGGCCTCATGCCCAGTTTCCGTGGGAGGACACTTTCCTGGTGACTGGTAACCTGGAGAGTGAGGATGACATTCTCATGCCAAGGATTGCTTGGCTGTTCTTGGAGTTGTCTCCTACCCAGGCAGTTTGGTGGCTCTCCCTGTCACCTCTCTGGTGACACTAGAGACCTAGAGACCACTCAGCCCAGATGCGGGGGGCTACAACTCCATTGGTACAGGAAGCTCTGAGCTCCATCCCAGTACCACAGAGACTGAGTGTGATGGTGCAGGCCAGTCACCCCAGCACTTGGGAAGCAGAGACCAGAGGAGCATTCTTGGCCATGTGGTGATTTCAAGGCCAGCCTGGGCTAAGACTGTTGGTGACTGCAGAACACACTACTGCTCTGATCGTCCAACTCTGTCCCTTTCCTTCCTTGCTGCTTTTGTGAAGGAAGTCACCTGGAGGGCCTACTTGGCCTGAGCATCGCTGGATCATTGCTCATGAGCCCCTTCTCTCCCCAGAGACCAAACAAGTGGTTCCTGTCACCTCTCTGGGTGCCCCTTAGATGCCATCCAGCTTAGCCTGACCAATGTCCACAGCCAGGTGAGCACTCACCTATTCAGGTCAGATCTAGCTGTAAGTGACCAGCCCCTACAGAGCTTCTGTCCCCCCTTCAGGGAACAGCCAATCTTCAGCACCCGGGCTCACGTCTTCCAGATCGACCCTACTACCAAGCGGAATTGGATCCCGGCTGGCAAGCACGCACTCACTGTGTCCTATTTCTACGATGCCACCCGAAATGTGTACCGCATCATCAGCATCGGGGGTGCCAAGGTCTGAGCAGGGGCCTGGGGGCTGGTGCTAGAGGTAGGATGTGAAGCTGGGTAATTTACGGAATGGGGATCAGTGAGCCTTTCTGGGACCTAGCTGTTTCCAGGAGTAGCTCAACAGTGGCTCTTGGGGGGAGGGAGGAGGCTCATCCACTCAGGCTTCCATCGTTATTGTCACGATGGTGATCCTAGACCTCAGTGCACCAAGAATTCTACCCCAGTCTCCCACTGAGGGATCCTAGGCGGGACTCCACCCATAAGTCATGCCTCTGGGAGATTCTGGGTGGGGACCTTCTACTGAGCCTGAGACAGGTGCCTAGAATAAAGTAATTTAATCCACTGTGTAGTCCAAGCTGGCCTTAAACCTGAATCCTTCCTCGGCTGTCCGGCTGGCTGGTGATGGTCGTTGTCACTCCTGTTGACCTTGCTTTCCTCACCCCCAGGCTATCATCAACAGCACAGTCACCCCCAACATGACCTTCACCAAAACCTCTCAGAAGTTTGGGCAGTGGGCAGACAGTCGAGCCAACACTGTCTATGGCCTAGGCTTTGCCTCTGAACAGCAGCTGACCCAGGTGGGCAGGGACATGGCCGGTGGCTGACATCGGTGTTCCTTGTGGTGGGTTCACGGAGAGCCAGACCCCTTGAGTGCACTGGGTAGTATGGTCATTTACCCCCTTGGCTCCAACATCACACACTCCTTTGTGCCTCCTGGAGCGTCAGATAGAAGCCTGTACTGCCACATCCCTCAAGAAGCCCCTCTCTCCAGCCTCTGCCATCACCACTTAATCTGAGTCCATTATTTGTTTTAGATTTATTTTTATCTGTCTGTGTGTATTTGTGTGTGCATGTGCCATGTGTGTGCTGGTGCCTGCAGAGGTAAGAAGATAGCATTAGGCCCCGGGAACTGGCATTACAGGCACTTGTTGAGGCACCTGTTAGAGATGCTGGAAACTGTAGTCATCTTTTGGAAACACTCTTTTTTTTTTTAAGATTTTTTTTTAATATTTATTTATTTATTATGTATACAATATTTTGTCTGTGTGTCTGTCTGCAGGCCAGAAGAGGGCATCAGATATCAGTTCAGATGGTTGTGAGCCACCATGTGGTTGCTGGGAATTGAACTCAGGACCCTTGGAAGAGCAGGCAATGCTCTTAACCTCTGAGCCATCGCTCCAGACCAAGATTTATTTATTTATTATGTATACATCATTCCTTCCATGTATGTATGCTTGCACACCAGAAGAGGGCACCAGATCTCATTACAGATGGTTGTGAGCCACCATGTGGTTGCTGGAATTGAACTCAGGACCTTTGGAAAAGCAGGCGGTGCTCTTAACCTCTGAGCCATCTCTCCAGCCCTCAATTTTTTTTAATAAAAAATATTATTACTTTTTTATTTGCTTTAGGTGTAAATTTGTGTGGACACACCTACAAAGGGTAGAGAGAAATGATCAGGGATTAGTTCTTTTTGTCCGTCCCCTGGGTTCTGAGAACCAGCATCAGGTTTGGCAGCAAAAGCCTGTGCTTTCATTGAACCATATTGTTGTGTTGGGTTTTTAAGTTTTGTTGTTGTTTTGGTTTGGTTTTTTATGTTTGTTTGGTTTTGGTTTTTGACTGTTTTGAGACAGAACAACCTTGGCTGTCCTGGAACTCACTCTATAGACCATGCTGTCCTTGAACTCATTGAAATCCACTTCCTTCTGCCTCCTGAGTGCTGGGATTAAAGGTGTGCATCACCATTACCCAGCCATTGAACCATATTGCAACCCTGAATTTTGTTTTGTTTTGTTTTGTTGTTTTATGAGACAGGTCACTCTGTATCCCTGCCTGTTCTGGAGCTCTCTCTGTAAACCAGGCTGCCTTTGAACTCAGTAATTCTCCTGCCTCCCAGTGCTGGGATTAAAAGCATGAGCTACCATACCCGCCTTTTGATTTTCTGTGTGTTTGCTGATTTAATATTTTTATTTCATGTGTATAAGGGTTTTACTTGTATGTGCCTATATTCACTGTGTGTGCTGACACATGTCTGCCGGCCACGACAGGGCGCCAGATTCCTTGGAACTGGAGTTCCAGATGGCTGTGAGCTGTGGGTGCTGGGAACAGAACCTGGGTCCTCTGCAAGAGCAGTCAGTGCTCTTAAACCCTGAGCCCTTGCTCCAGATCCCAACCCCTCCCCTTATTTATTTATTTATTTGGCAAGACCTTTCTTCCTTTTTGGGAGGGGGTTGGTTTTTTTAGATAGTCTGCTCTGGAACTTGCTCTATAGATCAGGTTGGCCTCACACTCATGGTGATCTACCAGTCCTGGTTAAAAAAAAAAAAAATTGGGTTGGAGTGATGACTCTGTTTTTAAAAACACTGGCTGCTCTTGCAGAGGACCCAGGTTCAGTTTCCAGCACCCATCCATCCCAGCTCACAGCCGTCTGTAACTCCAGTTCCAGGGGACCTGACACCTGGACACAGGGGCGCCCGGCCCATCTGTGGTGCCCAGATATACATACAGGAAAAACTGTGATACACATAAAATAAAATAAATAAATTTTTTAAAAAATATTTTCTTATTTTTCTTTTTTGTGGGTAGTGGGGTCTCACATTGTGTGTGTAGCCCTGGCTGATCTGGAACTTGCTGTGTAAACCAAGCTGGTTGCAAACTCAAGATTCTAGCTAAGGTTAACCTTAGCTTCCTAATCTGCCTGCCTGCGCTTCTCAAGTGCTTAGCTGGCGGTAGTGCGGCCCAGGGTGTGGTTTAACAGCAGTAGGGTGGTCAAGAGCATGCGCTCCTCTTGCAGAGAGAGGACTGAGTCAACTCAGCACCTGTGTGGAGCTCAGCCTCCTCCAGCTCCACGGAGGGGACTCAAGGCCTCTGGTGTTTGGGGGCGCTTACACGTTTTCTTGAATGAGTTTTTATTACATTTATTTGGTTTTTCTGTGCTGTGTGTCTGTGTCTGTGTGTGGTGCACTGTGCTTTGGAAGTCAAGGGACAGCCTGTGAGAGTCAGCTCCCTCCTACCTTGCTGGTCCCATAGGTCAAACTTAGGTCACCATGCTTGACAACAGCTTATTGAGTCAGATCACTGGCCTCAGATATTCTTTTCTTTTCTTTTTGAGACAAGGTTTTCCTATGTAGCCAGGGCTGTTCTGGAACCCGCTCTGTAGACCAGGCTGGTCTTGAACTCAGAGATCCGCCTGCCGCCTCTGCCTCCCCAGTGCTAGGGTTAAAGGCATGAGCCACCACAGCTTGTTTTTTAAGAAATGTATGTGTTTGTGCCTGTGTGTGGATGTCCCAAGAGGCCAGATGGTGCTGGATCCTCTGGAGTCACAGTTGGGAGTTAGTTGCCTGAGGTGGTATGGACTCTGAGTCATTGCTAGGTCTTCACAGATTATTTCTGATAAATGAAAATTTAATTTTATGATCACTGGTCTGTGTGAGGGAGTCAGATCCCCTGCAACTTGAGTCACAGACAGTTGTGAGCTGGGAATTGAATCCAGATCCTCTGGAAGAGTAGCCTGCTGCCTATGGAAATTATTTCAAAGTGAAAATACATTATCATAAGCACAGGACAGCACTAGCTGTCAGATGGCCCATTCAGGAGCAGGAGTGCCAGGAGGCCAGCACTCTCAGGCTGTGTTATGAGATACTGGCAAGCGCAAAGGACAGATGGGCGCCAGCCTCAGGCTGTCCACTCCAAGCCAGCCTGACAGGAACAGGGAGTCCCCTTCTGTGTGGCTCAGAACCTTAATGTCACCTCTGTGGCATAACCCGTCACCCTTGACACCCAAGATGGTCACAGGGTTGACCATTTCCAACCTCCCCCAAAGGCTCCAGGGTGACAGGGCAGGTGGAGGATGGGGATGTGACAGGTGGTGAGGGAAATGCCTCTGACTGTCCCCCTGCCTCGCCTCCAGTTTGCTGAGAAGTTTCAGGAGGTCAAAGAAGCTGCCAGACTGGCTCGGGAGAAATCTCAAGATGGCGAATTCACTAGTTCTGCCCTGACCCTTGCCTCTCACCAGGTAGGTATTTCTGCTGTCTGCCTCTATTGCCCTCGATTCCTGCCACATTCCTGAGGTAGCTGTCTGTGCTTCTGACATCAGGTGTCTGAGGCTGACTGATGGCCTTAGACATTTGTGCATATGTGTGCACATGTGTATCTAAGGCTGACTGATGGCCTTAGACATGTATCATATGTGTGCACATGTGTATCTAAGGCTGACTGATGGCCTTAGACATGTATCATATGTGTGCATGTGCATGGGTGCAGAGCAATCCATGGGAGTCCGTGCTCTCCTTCCAGCAGGGCCTCAGGCTCCTTCACTGAGCCATCTCACCAGCCCATTCTTCAGTTTTAACTGGAATGTTTTATGTCTCTGTGCCCAGGGGAAAACTCCCTGGAGAATTGTTCCAAGTGTTCAGATCCCTGTTTCTAAGGGTTGTTGGGTCTTGCAGTGTCAGTAAAGACCTCCCCCCCCCCAGGGGGTGCAGTTCCCCATCCAGGAGCCTGGGGAGCTATGGATGGTGGGGAGAGGAGACACAACACTGGGCTTCACAGGCCTGTTCAGACTCCCTAATTTCAATCAATACCCCAGTGACTCCAGTCCTCAACTCAATCAACCTTAACTCCTACTTCGCCCTTGGCTGAAGCAAGATCTCATAGTGACTCAGTCCTGGCTTCCACACACAGGTTCCCCCAAGTCCCTTGGTCAGCACCAACGGTCCAGGAGAGGAGAAGTTGTTCCGCAGCCAGAGTGCAGACGCCCCTGGCCCCACCGAGCGAGAGCGCTTGAAGAAGATGCTGTCCGAAGGGTGAGGGGTGGGGCTTGCTGGGCAGCTGTGAAGGGTGGAACCTGCTTGAAGGCTCTGACTGAACTGCAGGGCCTTGGCTGGCACCATGGGCGTACCAGGGAATCCCCAGGACAGACTTTTAGGATGTAGGGGACGTGGTGTTGCTGGGGTCAGGGTCCTTACTGGGATTAAGGGGCGTGGGTAGTGGGATGGGACCTTGGATGGTGGTGGTAATATCGTAGTAAGGCTTGTGTGGGCGTGGATGCAACAGGTGGCAGGGGTATGGGGTAGGAATCCAGCCTGCGGACCTGGGAAAGGAGGCAATCAGTTCCTGCCTCACGGAGGTTGCCCCTTCCTCATTTACTTACCATTCCGTGGCTCTCATGGACTATCACGTGGCAATCTGGGAGGGACAAGGATAGGTTTCCAAAAAGTAGGGTCTCGTGGTGTAGCCCACTCTGGCCTGAAACTCATTATGTAGCCTAGACTGATATCGAACTTAAGGGGATCCTCCTGTCTCAGTTCAACTCTCTGCTCCACATGCCACGGTCCCCGCTTCCTAGTTTAGTGTTGTCCCCATCTCCCGATCCTGCTCCTAGCCCTGGAGGCCCTCCGCTGGTTGCCACCCGCTGACTATGCACACCCCCAGCCTGGTGTCTTCCCTGCAGCTCCGTGGGCGAGGTCCAGTGGGAGGCCGAGTTCTTCGCACTACAGGACAGCAACCAGAGGCTGGCAGGGGCCCTACGCGAGGCCAACGCAGCTGCCGCGCAATGGAGGCAGCAGCTGGAGGCCCAGCGTGCAGAGGCGGAGCGTCTGCGGCAGCGGGTGAGGACCCGCCCCCCATCTCTTTCAGTCTCCAGAAAATCATTTCTTGCTGTAAAATGACTTGAGACCATGAGATCCTCAGGCTCTCCATGTCCCTGAGGGTGGGACTGCTGAGCTGCCTGTGTGCAGGTGGCGGAGCTGGAGGCCCAGGCGGCGGCAGAGCCGGTTCCGGTGGGCGAGAAGGAGGTAACCAGCCAATCCGTGGAGCAACTGGAGGCTCAGGTGCAGACCAAGGACCAGGTGAGCCAAGGGCAAGCTCCAGGGTCTTGCCTCGGGCCAGTCTACCTGGGTATCCAGGGTTCTCTGAGCAGACCTTTTCTCTCTAGGAGATCCAGACTTTGAAGAATCAAAGCTCAGGAACTCGAGAAGCTCCTGACACTACTGAGCGGGAGGAGACACAGCAGAAGGTTCAGGTTGGCTGTGGGTCAGGGGTGCATGTATGTGAGTGTGTAGATCAGGTTCCACCTGCCTGTGAGTGGGATGGGAAAATCTACCCAAACTTGTGAGGCCTTAGAGTCTTCTAGTCTTCAGACCTCATCCTCCCACACTTGAGCAGTCTGTGGCACCCAAAAAAGTACCTGGAGTGTCCCCAAGACATTCCTGGGGGCTCTGTTGTCCTTGGGGATGGGTACAGCTTGTGCAGAGGTTTAGAGCCCAGGACCCTTGGACTGGTGGCCTGCGTCGTGGTTGTTTGTGGTGTGTACAAACTGCTGCTCACATTTCGAGTGTACGCACACCAGGCTGCCAGAGGCTTCAGTCTGTCTCACTGCACGTGGAACTTAGTTTTTCTGGGCTGGGCTCTGAGCCACCGAGCAGCCGGGATCTGTTCTCCAACCCTAGCTGTATCTGGGGCACCGGATTTCCCGTGGGTAAGATGGATTGGGATTGAGGACTGTCAGGTTATAGCCGGCACTTCACCATCTCTTTAGTTAAATACTACACACTTCGTTAAGCTTGTTTCTGTCTTTGAGAGCTTTCCTGGGTTAACAAGGTTCGGAGTTAATTCTTTCCTTCCACCATATGGGTGCTGGGGATTAAACCTTCAACTTGGGTATTTTTGTTTTTGATACCGTGGCTCTAGCTGCAGCTGGTCTGTGACTCACAGAGATCCACCTGCCTCTCCGCCTCTCAGTGCTGGGTTCAAAGGTGTGCGCCGCCATGCTCCCCCAGGTGCACCTGGCTTTTCTCGTGTGGGTTTGTGCAGATTCCTTTAGGAGTCAGAGGTTGTACCCCCTAGGGCACTACATAAGGTTGTGAGTCGCCCCATGTGGATACTTGAAAGCGAACCCAAGCGCTCTGGAGAAGTTTATATTCTTAAGCACTGACCCATCTCCCCAGTCCTTAGAATCATGGTTTCTTACTGGCGGGCCAGTGTGCTCCAGGAATCCCATTTGGGATTACAAATGCATGCCAACTATGCTCAATTTATGTGACCACTGGGCTCTGAACTCACGTTGGGCACCTCACGCTTTTAAGATACTTTACTGTTGTAATCTCCCAGCCTATGGGAGCCATGGATCACACCCAGCAAGAAGGGCGACCAGAGGCTTCATAGACCGCCCCACCCCACGCTCCTTCCTCCCCCTGCAGGACCTGGAAACACGGAATGCAGAGCTGGAGCAGCAACTGCGGACCATGGAGTGCAGCCTGGAGGAGGCTCAGGCAGAGCGCGAGCGCGCGCGGGCAGAGGTGGGCCGGGCTGCGCAGCTCCTGGACATGCGACTGTTCGAGCTGAGCGAGCTGCGTGAGGGCCTGGCGCGCCTGGCAGAGGTGACACCCTAGTTGGCCCGTGGGTATGCGGCCCTAAGGTGCCCTGGCAGGGAACCAGGGCCGCCTCTGAGCTTTGCACTGTGTAGCTTTTCTAGAATTCATGGGTGGCGCTGATACCCAGATTACATTTCTATGGGGTTGTACAAGCACGTGGTGTTGTCGCTAGCTGCTGCCGCCCTGCATCCCAGAGATGCAAGGGAGGGCCGCGGTGGTCATCTCCATGGGGCAAGAGAGACTTTGGGGACCAGAGACCCGCAACCCAACACCCACCCCGCCCCATTGTCAAGACGGACTGGCAGGTTCAAAGAGTGTTTACTGAGGTCCTCTGTGGCCTACCCAAGGGACCGGTGGCTGCAGGTTTCCGCTCAGGTCTGAGCCTTGTCCCGGGAAGACACCGGAAGCCGAGGTACAGGAGGACGAGCCCTTCGGCCTGTGTTCCCTGGTTTCTGTCTCCGAAGCGTCTGCCCCACCTTCTCCTTGAAGCGCCGATTCTGTTGCTTGATCTTGGCCAGTTCTGCCTTGCGCTTGGCCTCCAGGTCTGGGTCCTGAGGAAGGGAGCAAGGCTGGCTGAGATACTGAGACCCCAGCAGGGCAGCTTCCCAGCGACCAGCTCCATCCCTAAGCCCAGCCCACCCATACTGGCCACACCCCTTCTTAGCCCTGCCCCTTGGTTCACCTTCCCCTCCATGATCAGCTGCTTCCGCTTATTGATCTCCTTCTTTTCATCAAAATGCGAGGCCTCCAGTTTCTACGGAGAGGGCACAGGTCAGGGCAGGCCCACAGGGCAGGGGGCCCCGCTCTCCAACCTGGTGACCACACTCACGATCTCGCACTCTCTGCGCACCACGTTGACCTGCGTGAGGATTTTCAGGACCTCGGCCTCCTCCACAGCCAGCTCCTCCAGCTGCTTCTCTGCAGAGATGCCAGGAGATAGGCAACACTGAGCTGGGCTGACCGCAATTGGCCCTCTGAGCCCCGATTCCAGATGTCTGGACTGATGACATTCGGGAAAAAAAGCACAATAGTGCCAAACTTGGTGGCAGATGCCTGTCATCACAGCACTGGGGAGGCAGAGGCAGGGGGAGCACTGTGAGTTCCAGGCCAGCTCTGTAGAGCAAGGATCTGTCTCAAATAAATGAATGAGTAAATGAAATGAATGAGTGAGTGAGATGAGACCCAGGAGCCTGGGGTCCCAGCTCCAGAGGTGTAAACAGAGAGAGCTCAGGGAAGGCAAGTGTGTCTCAGCGGCAGTTTAAGATGGGGGAGGGCTACAAGCCATGCCTGGGAGTTCAAGTCCTGGCTACCTAACTACCACAGATGCAGCTCCAGGGTTGGTGGCCCTGTGAACAGCAGGCTTTTCTGTAGTGTTGGCTGGGCAACACTCTGCACTGGTCTGCAGCTCCAGAGTGACCCAGGCAGGGAAGCCATCTCCCACCCTTGGGCCCTAGCCACTTACTGATCTGCTCCTCGATGGCATGCAGCAGGTGAATGTCATACTGTGTCACCAGTGTGATGGCCTGTCCCTGCCGCCCTGCGGGGGACACATCTGTTAAAAAACCTGGGCCCCACCAAGTGGCTCATCCCAGCTGGTAAGCTCTAGGATCCTCCTCAGAGGGCATGGCTCCACTTAGAGAGGCCAGCCTTCTGTGAGGGCAGGCCGCATGCTGCTTTCCTTTTTTGCTGGGCTTAGCCCTGCTCTGTTGCCCTTTCTTTCTACAATGGTGACCAAGCTGATGCACTGTTGGCTAAGAGGGCCTCAGACAGGGTTCTGGTGCCACCAGGTTGGATGGCAGGCCCCGTCCAGTCCAGCATACTGTCTATTGGTTACAAGCAGGAGGGATTATCAGAGGAGATGTCTCCCTGGTCCCTGGGTTGGTATCCCAGTAAGGGGCCAGGCCAAAAGTGCATTGGGAAGGTGCCCCCACTGACTCTTTGCTTCTGAAGGACAGACCTGAGTTCCCCAGTGTCTCTTACTACAACTAGAACCTCCCATACCTGGCTCTGCTCACCTGCACGGGCTGTTCGACCAACTCGGTGGATGTAGATCTTGGGGAGCCCAGGGGTGTTGTGGTTGATGACCACTTGCACAGTGGGGATGTCTAGGCCCCTGGGGGTAAAGAGCACTCAGCTGGGCATCCATGTCAAGAGACCAAAGCTGACACTCATTCCTCCCCACGCCCAAGCCCAGCCTTTTGGTCTCACACTGGCCTAGACCCCTGAAGAAAGGAACGCTGCACTGAGCCTGCTCACCTTGAGGCTACATCAGTGGCGATAAGAATCCGGTACATGCTGGACTTGAACTTGGCCAGGGCTGCAAAGCGTTCTTTCTGTGCCACAGGTGGGGGGAGGTTTGTGAGCAGATGGGTGGGGCTGGGAGGAGGTGGCCTCAAAGTCAAATGGGACACCAGGGTGACATGGGGAGATATCTTTTTTCCGAGTGTTTTTGCTAAAGACAGGGTTGCACTGGGCATGGCGATGCACTTTACTCCCAGTACTTTGGGGTCAGAGCCAAAGGATCTCTGAAAGTTTGAAGCCAGCTTCCTTTACATAGAGAGATCCAAGACAGACAGGACTACATAGAGACCGTGTCTCAAACTACAAGAAAAAACACAACAAAAAACCCACGGTTTGGGGCTGGAGAGATGGCTCAGAGGTTAAGAGTATTGCCTGCTCTTCCAAAGGTCCTGAGTTCAATTCCCAGCAACCACATGGTGGCTCACAACCGTCTGTAATGAGGTCTGGTGCCCTTTTCAGGTGTGCAGGCATACACACAGACAGAATATTGTATACATAATAAATAAATAAATAACCCCCCCCCCACAGTTTAAAGCCTATGCTGGCTTTAAACTCCTATTCATCCTGCCCCACCTCCTGAGTGCTGTGAGCCCTGAACAAATGCAACAGGCACGCAAGCTACGCTCAGCTTACATGGTTGGGCATGGAACACAGGGTCTCATGCTGGGCAAGCACTCTCCCCACTAAGCTCCATGCCCAGCCTCTGAGTGGCAACAGTGAGGCTGGAGAGGCTGAGCCATGGTCATCACCTGCTTCATCATGGAGTGCAGCGCCACTGTGGGGAAGTTGAACTTCCGTAGCATCATACAAAGGATTTGGCAGATCCTGGAGGGAAAAGAGTGGTTGTGGGTATCTTGCCTCAACCTACCAGGACGTCACACAAGTGGTCTGAGAATTGTAGAAATACTAGGTCTGCTGTCGGCCTGCTGTGCTTCTGAAAGCTAGAAACAAGGACCGGCCCTAACTGTGGCACTGACTTCCAGAATAGCGCTCTCAAGTGGCTGGGTCCTGCCATGCCAGATGGCCACCTGCTCTGTTCCATAGACAACATGTCCTCTTCTGCGGACAGACACGAGCCTCCTGTTTCTGTCCTTCTGACTCAAGCTGACACAGCCAACAGCTATTTTGGTTTGAGTCAGGGTCAGTGTGTAGCTCCGGCTGGCATGGAACTTGCTATATAGACCAGGCTGGCCTCAAATTCACGGATCTGCTTGCCTCCTGGGTGCTGGAATCACACTTCAGCACCAGGTGGCCAGGCTTGGTCTAGCCTCACCTACATATGAGGGAAACGGCCGGCGTGCCCAGCACAGGCGGCAGGAGCTGCTCACTCACTTGCAGGTATTGGTGAAGATGATGATGGAGCAGTCCTCCAGCTGGTCTTGGAAGGTCTGGACCAAGTGCACCAGGTAGGCGTCCTTCACCTTCTCCGGCACCAGCAGGTAGCGCTGGTCAAGCTGCTCCACTGTGCGTGCCCTGGAGGTAGAGTAGCAGCAGAGTCTCAGCTTCCCCTTCTGCCCGAACTCTCTAGTCGGACCCCCTACCACAGCTCTGGAACTCACGGGGCCTGAGCCTCCCAGAAGAAAGGCTGGTTGGTAGCCAGGCCCTGCAGTTCCTTGAGTGTGTCGGTCAGTGTGGCACTGAAAAGCAGTGTCTGCCTGCGTGCTGGAACAGCTGCCAGGATGGTTTCCAGGTCTGCAGTGAAGTCGGTGCAACCCTGCTCCAGCAGTCGGTCAGCTTCGTCCATCACCTGCCACCAGAGAAGTGGGACAAGGGACCAGTGCAAAAGCTGCAAACACAACCCAGGACCTGCCCCACGCCCAGTACCCCTGCTTTTCAGGGACTACCTAATGGGCTCCTAAATAGTGTTCTGGCCTCAGGTCCACATCCCCGACTCTGCAAGGCTCCAGCAAGGCCTCAAGGGGGTCCGCCTTCTGTATGCCGTGTCTCTACAAGGCCAGGTCTCAATGTGGAGCCCTGAGTCTCCTGGAACTTACTATGTAGATCAGGCTGGCCTTGAACTCACAGAGATCCTTCTGCCTCTACCTCCCAAGTACTGGGATGAAAGGTAAGTGCCACCACTTTCAGGCGGGCCTTATCTTTATTTCTAGCCCTTTACCCATGTGAAACCAAGTCAAGAACTGATGTCAGCTGAGCACAGTAGCTCACATCTACACAGAAGGTCACACTTGGCTCACCAGGAACCGGATCTTCTTCATGGTGAACGTGCTGGAGCTGCGTAGGTGGTCAGCCAGGCGTCCAGGGGTGGCGATCACCACATGTGGCTTTCGAGACAGCTCCAGCGCCTGAGCCACCATGTCTACAGTGGGGGGAGAGGTGAGGCTAAGTGGGTGGGATCAGTTGGGACCCACGACTCACCCCAGCCTCAGCCCCCATACCCATGCCGCCAACGATAATGCAATCCTTCAGACCCAGGGGCTTTCCCAGCACCCGGAACTGCTCAGCAATCTGGTAGGCCAGCTCCCTGTGGATGAGAAGGGCCGGTTGGGTCAGTGAGCACCTGGGCTTCTCTCCCATCATTTCTCCTTCCCCAAGCTCCTTGCGCCCTCCACCTCCTTAATGTTGGTGGTCTCCTCAAAAATCAATTCTAGGGGGACTGGCAACATGGCTTAGCAGGGAAGGTACAGGCTACCGTCCTGAATCCTGTCCCCAGGACCCACATGGTAGAGGGAAGAACTGATTCCTACAGGTGGCCCTCTGACCCCCACATGAGCACGTGGATGCACATACAAACAGTAAATCAACTTATGTGGGCAAACCGCTCACTGCTCAAACATGAGGACCCGAGTTCAGATCTGCAGGGCCCTTGTGAAGCTCAGTGTGTAGCAGCGTCTCTCACCTCAGTCAGGTGAGGAAGGGCAGTGACGTCGCAGGGTGGCTGGGGCTCATTGCTCAGCCAGCCAAGCCAATTAATGAGCCCTAGTTTCAGTGAGAGAACCTCTCTTGAAAAGATGGGGGTTAGAGAGATGGTTCAGTTGTTAGGATGGAAGAGAGGTAATGCCACGTGATAGAACATAGATTAATACAAACGGGTTAATTTAAATTATAGGAGCTCGTTGGAACAAGACTAAGCTACAGGCTGAGTTTCATAATTAATAAGTCTCCATGTCATTATTTGGGAGCTGGCTGTTAGAATCAAGGCAGCTCAAAGTCAAGGCACTTGCTTCAAGAAAGCACAGCTAGACCAGTCACATGTGAGGAGTATGCTGGAGACTCACCTGGTGGGTGTCAGGACTAGGCAGAAGATGCCGTAAGGGTCCTCAGACAGCTTCTGCAAGATGGGAAGCACAAAAGCAGCCGTCTTGCCACTTCCCGTCTTTGCACAGCCCAAGCAATCTCGACCTAGGCAGACGGCAAAGCAGGGCCCACTGGGCATTCATTCATTGGTGTAAGAAACAGATGGTCATGGTCAACTTATGAGGTGCACTTAGAGTTCATGAAAGTTACAGACAAGCAGGAGGTGCTGGGCCTCCTTCTCACTAGTTGGTGACTGTTTTAGAATTCTAAGGCTTGGAGAATTACAGGCACCTGCTATGTGATCAGAAAAGGGGGACAGCCTCAAGCTCCAAACTAATTCATTAGATACAGCTTGGGAGTCCTAAAACCAGTGGGGCGGGGATCTGGGAAGGGGGCAAGCCCTGCTGGTCTATGGAAGGAAACGTCATGAATTCCTCCAGATTTGGAGAAAGGCTTCAAAAACTTGCTGGAAACCAGTGCACCAGTCACTTCTGCCTGTTCTCTATGTTGACACCCTTTTTACAGAATAGATTGTTTAAAACTGTTTAAATCTCATTAGTTCCTTGAATTTGTTACTATCTGATGTCCAACATTTACTATGATTGCTTCTTTTTTTTTAAAAAAACAACTTTATTTAACTTTATTTCATGCACACTGGAGTTACAGACAGCTGTGAGCTGCCATGTGGGTGCTGGGAATTGAACCTGGGTCCTTTGGAGGAGCAGTCAGTGCTCTTAACCACTGAGCCATCTCACCAGCCCCTATGATTGCTTCTTTGAAACAAGGTTTTAAGTAGCACAGGATGATCTGGAACTTGCTACATAGCTGAGGGCTATCCTGAACTCCTGATCCTCCCGCTTCCGCCTGTTCTATACTGGGATGACTGAGAATCACGCCTGGCTCCAAGGGATGTCTCTTTAACAAAAAAAGTGAATTGGGACAAAGAGCACTGACACAAATACGGATCCCTGATTTTTACCTGGAGTTTGACGGCTCTTTTTTCTGTTTGCTATGTCAAAAAGACAGCAGCTCTACTCTATTTTTGCAGTGCCATGGATTAATTCACCAAACTCTCCCTATGCTCGGGCACTACAAAAATTTCAGAGGTGCCATTGTCTATGTGACAACACACACGACTCAGTCGCAGCCTAAACGTCAATGTTGCGGGTCAGGGTTCCCGAAACAAGCAAACCTCTGACTCGTGGGACCCAAGGGGGCTAAGGAAGAGGGGACAAAGAAAGGCAGGCACGAGAAGAGCGGAGAGGACTTACCCTCCAGGATGGCCGGGATGCAACCGAGCTGCACCGGCGTGGGCTGCTTCAACCCTAGCTGCCGACATTGTTCCACGAGCCACGATGATAGCTGGAGTTCAGCAAACCCCGCCATGCTCCGAACCGGCGCGGAGAGTCCAGTGATGAGCACTTCCGGCGTGCTAATAATGCGTCAAGTCATCGTTACAAGTTCCTCAGCCAATCCCAACCTCGGCCGCTTTTTGGCGTTTTCTGCAGGAAATCGTCTTACTTGCTGACTATACCTGAACAACAATTCCCAGGAGGCGTTGCATCACGCGACTTCATTTTCAGCACTACTGATTGGCTCGATAGAACTATGTTTCCCACAGTTCCCGGCGGCGGAACCTTGCTTCCGGTCTACGTGTCCCAGGAAGAGGACTGTATCTAGGGGTGGCGACATGGCTCCTCCGACTCCCGGCGCGGCCTCTGGCGGCTCCGGAGATGTAGACGAGCTGTTCGACGTGAAGAACGCTTTCTACATCGGCAGCTACCAGCAGTGCATCAACGAGGCGCAGCGAGTGAAGGTGGGCGGCAGGCGGGGCTGCTTCCGGCGCGCGCTACGACTCTGGCGGACGTGATTTTTCTTACAGCAAAGGCTTCTTTTGAACTTGCTGTATTCCGCTATTGTGTAGCGGAGACTGACCTTGATGTCCTGCCCCTTCAGTCTCCACCTCTCCAGTGCTGGGATGACTGGCTCGGCCCATGCTCCTAGTTCCCAAAATTCTGTTGGTTAATTGCCTGAGCTGATCTGCAGTCAGGGTCCTGGTGAGGTGCGCCGCTGCCTCACTTAACACCTCTTATTGTTTCCTTTTGTCTTCCCCTCCCTCCACTTTGTTTTTTGTTTTTTCCGAGACAGGATTTCTTTTTGTTTAGGTCTGGCTGTCCTCGAACTCACTCTGTGGACGTGCTAGCCTCGAACTCACGAAGATCCGCCTGCTTCTGCTTCCCGAGTGCTGGGATTAAAGGCGTGCGCCACCACTGCCCGGATTTTAATATCTAAAACTAGGCACATATTCTATCCCACTACTTGGGAGGCAGAGGCAGGACCAGCCTGCTCTACGTGGGGAGTTCTAGACAACCCTGTCTTAAGCAATAATAGGCCAGGCGTGGCAATACACACTTTTAATCCCAACATTTGGGACGAAGAAACAGGCTGATTTCTGAGTTTGAGGCCAGCGTGGTCTACGTAGTGAGTTCTGGACAGCAGGGGTACACAGAGAAACCTGTCTTGAATTGCCCCCCCCCAAAGAAAAGTATAGTTATAAAAGGAAGACAGGGTCTTCTTTAGCCCATGGTTGTCCTCAGACTCCCCGTGTTCCTGATGCGCCAGAGTGCTAGAATCGCAGTTATGCCCAACCATGCCCAGTCATGCAGTACTGAGGATGGAAACCACCCACAGCCCTGAAGCAAGTGCTCTACCAGCTGAGTCCCAGCTCTGATTTTATTTGTAAAACAATTAACAGTTTTGCTTCAGCCTCCCAGACGCAGGGATAACAGGCCCATGTGGCCACACCAGCTTGTCTGTAGTTCTAAAAGAGGAGAACTGGGTCAATCATCAACAGCTAGGCTGCTGATGAGGTTACCCAGTCACGCCTGGGCTCAGTGGAAGATGGCGTTGATAGAGAGCTCCAAGCTTTCTAGGTACGTTAGCCTTGGTGACAGGCAGAGCAGGCAGTCAGAAAATGGCAGGAGCATGAGTTACAGAAAGTGGTGTTCTTAGGTGTGGCTCTTCTGAGTGTGAAAACAGCTGTCATTCCAGGTTGGAGCAGTAAGGGCCTGGGGGCGTGGCTCCAGCAGAGAGCATGCAGCAGGATTCTTACCAGGCTGATGTCTCAGAGTTGGTAGGCTCTGCCTTGTTCTGGTTCTCTCCTTTCTAAGGATTTCCACTGGTTATGCATTGGCTGATGACTTTCTAAGCTTCTAGAAGGTTCTCTCTAGTCCCTGGCTTTTCGTCTTCTCAGAACAGCAGATGTGGGTTTCTCCCATCCTTAGAACAGCTTTGTTCCCTCTCCCGTCACTTTCCTCTTTGTCCTTGCTCTTAAGGACGTGTGTTGCTAGTTCCTGATTCTGGACTTCAGAACTCTGAATGCAGGCCACTTTCCGGCCTGCATTCCTGAGTGTGTCAGGTCAGTGGCCCAGCAAGCCATCTGAATGACAGTTTGAATACTGTGTCTTTCTTCCTTTCTTTCCTTATTTCTTTGGGTATTTTGGAGGACACCCAGCTCTCCTGTGCCTGTCTTTCTTCTTCTGTGGGTGTCCCTGCCCAGGACTCGCTGTGGCCCTGTTATCTCTCTCTCCTCTTCCCTTTCCGCACCTGCTGCCGGCCCTCAACAGCCCCATCTCAGACACAAGCCATCCACACTTTGCACCTGGGGACCTCAGGGTATCTTGTAGTTCAGCCGTGTCCTTCAGCTGAGTTCCCAGGACACCATCAGCAGCCCTTCTAGAACCTTTAGACCGCAAGTGACCCATCACACATCTGCTCCTTCCTAGCAGGGAAGCACTAGGATTGTAGGTAGCTTGAGGCAGGCCTCTCCCTGCATCAACTTCAGGCCCCATGAGAGCTGCTATACAGTGGTGAGCACTGTGGTGATCAGGACTCCTCGGGTTGTGTGGTCCCAGCTACAACAGAGGGTGAGGCAGGATGATCAATAGAAGCCATCCTGGGTTCTGTCTAAATTAAATGTATGTATCCCCTCCCCACAGGAACAGCCTAGTCTGTGTGCCAAAACTTGAATGGGTCTAATCTCCTCGCCTTTGTCTGTTTCTGTCTCTCTTCCTCCGTGTCTCAAAATGCTGGGGATAGAATCCAAGACCTACACACGCTTGACATTTCTGCCATCTTATGGCTCCTCAGCCCTTACCTCTGGGGCTCATTCAGCCACTCCCTTGCTGCAGAACATCCAGGCCTTCAGCTTCAGATAAGCTCAGTTGCCTCATTCCTCCCAAAGCCTTCTTTCTCCTTCATAGTCAACTGCTCTACAGGCTTTGAGGGATTCTGGGAAGGCCAGAACTCTCTTCCCAGCAAAGGCTCCCTATATTTAGAGTCCAGGCTGACCTTGAGCGAATTGAAACAGTCCTGCCTCAGCCTCCTGGGTGCTGGGATCAGAGGCCCAGTCTTCAGGTCCATCCTGTCCGCACACTTCCTGCTGTAGGGACTGGGGTGACTTGGCCCTGCAAGTAGTGAAGTTGTTCTCTTATGCATAGATGGCAGAAGCTGATTCGTGCCCTCGGGTTCCCATCCTCAAAGACACCAGGAGCCAGCATTGCTGTCTTTCCAAGCATGACTCAGGGACCCTTCAAGAGTCACTTATGTAGGCAAGCTTGGTGCACACACCTGTCATCCCAGCATGTAGGCGGCAGAAGCAGGAAGATCCAACGGTTTAAGGTTGTTCTTAGATACATCGTGAGTTTGAAGCCAGCCTGGTTTACCTGGACCCAGAAAAGCTCCCGAAATGATAAAGTCAAAGTCCAGCTGACCTGTGAGCACCCAGATGGGCTGGGGCACACAGCGGCTGGTGTGGCCAATAGCAGTGCAGCCTCTCAGTCATATGGTTGAGATGGCAGGCTTTCATACTGTGTGCCCTCTGTGGAGTGGAGGTGCCCATGGGGTTCTGGGTCTCCTGGATTCCAGCAGAGGCTCTGAACTAGTTAGACTTGGTATCCCCTGAAGCTGCCCTGCAGCCCCTCCGTCTCACTCTGTCCATGTCCCCACAGCTGTCCAGTCCCGAGAGAGAAGTGGAGAGGGATGTCTTCCTGTACAGAGCATACATTGCACAGGTAAGCGTGGGCCCGGCCTGGGCAGGGAAGCTGCGAGCAGCCACGCCAGGGACCTGTCAGGACTCTTCTCAGGGAAAGGTTATGTGCAAGTGGGCAGAGGACGACTGCTGCACCCCATTCTCTCCTTCCATTGTGTGGGTCCTGAGAATTGAACTTAGGTCATCAGGCTTGGTGGCCATCTCGCATGGCAGGCCTTGATCTCACTGTGTAGCCCAGGATGATCTTGCTCCTATTCCCACTACCTCCCCCTGCCACTATGCCTGGCTTCATTGCCTACCAGTGAGGTGTACTTTCACATTCAAAAAGCAACCCCAAGGGGGCTGGAGAGATGGCTCAGAGCACTGCCTGCCCTTCCAAAGGTCCTGAATTCAATTCCCAGCAGCCACATGGTGGCTCACAACCATCTGTAATGAGATGTGGTGCCCTCTTCTGGCCTGCAGGCATACATGCAGACAGAATATTGTATACATAATAAATAAATAATTTAAAAAAAAAAAAAAAGCAACCCCAAGCTGTGTCAGGTGGCACAGGACTGTCACCCCAGCACTTCAGAGAGAGAAGTTCAGGTTTGAGGGTAGCCTTGGCTACACTTCAAGACCCTGCTCAGAAATACGTATTTCTATGATCTCTGTGAAAAGCTCTTCTTCACTCTGGCCCAGGGCAGGGTGTAGGTGTTCAGGAGTGGTACTTCAAATCCCCGTGCTTCAGCACATGATCTGTGCTGCCAGGCCCATCCTGTTCCACACTCCTCTGTGTGTCAGGGAAAAGCCGCGTGTAACTCTCCAACAGGTGTAGTGACACATCTTTAGCACTTGGGTGGGTGAGAAAGACCACAACAAGGGACAGAGTGGCTCCAGCAGTAGCCATGGGTGTCAGAGGGGAGGCAGGACGCCCTCCTGTCCTGCACTGCTGACATTGTGTTCTCAGCTACAACAATGGGGCACGGTGTGACAGGTGAGGGGCACCTGGTAATCGTGACACTGCCGGTGTGGGCAGTATGTTGGTAATGCTGGCGGTGGGCGGAAGGACTGATGTGCACCTGTGACCGTAGAGGAAATACGGCGTGGTCCTGGACGAGATCAAGCCCTCCTCGGCCCCAGAGCTCCAGGCTGTGCGCATGTTTGCGGACTACCTTGCCACTGAGAACCGGAGGTGAGGCCTGGTAGGGGCCACCAGATAGCCAGGGCCAGGATCTACTACATCTGCAGAGGGAGGGTGAGGTGTCCCCTCTTCCTCCATTTCTCTCACCTGTTGGTGGAGGTGGTGATGGTTCTGCTGCCCTGCACTTTGCAGGCCTGGGGGCATGGCTGTGTGTCGAGTGTGCTTAGCCTGCACATGGCCTTGGCTTTCATTCCTAGCACAGAAAAGGGTGTGGGGGCTCTGGGAACAGTTCCTCAGGCCCAGCCTAGGAGGGGAACCAAGAACACTGTCCTTCAT